TATATATAAATTTGTATTTATAATGTATGTATAATATGTGTGTGTGTGTAATATGTCATTTATTTTCATCTTGGCTTGAGAGTCTAAAATATTTATTTTCAAGTATTTCACATCAGTCTTTAAACTCTAATGCTAAATTGCATCCACAAAGTGTGTGTTCTGTATAGTTTATAAGATGAAATTTATTTGCCTATATTCCACATCCTTTGAACCCTGTACTTCTTCAAGACAATAACTTAAACACTCCTATATATAGGGACTTAAAAGGACATATCTGTGTTTTGGTTACAAAATGCTGTTTAGAAAGAAAATACTCAAGTGCCAAAGCTATCCTCAACATCTCAAGTTGAATCAGTTTTTTTCATTAAACCAGTTTATGAAAATGCAAAAGACTAGAGCCATATCCGTACCTAGGGAGCCTTCATGGAATGGAAGTTTTTCTGATAGGAAAGTAGAAAGAAGTAAAGTTCGTTATAAAATTAAGATGAGAACTAGGGAGGTGACTAGGATTTGCTAACGATAGGCTACTGCTGGAGCAAGCTGGGAAGCTTTATATATGGGATATGGGACAGTATAAGATATCAGAAAACCTAAACATAGAGACCGGTGGCTATTACTCGGAAATTTAATCTAAAGTCCCTTGGTTAGATGCTATGAGTTGAACATGTGAATGCTAATGGCCAAGCAAGGTAATTCTTTCTGCGATGGCTACTTTTGGAAAGTCTCACTGATGGAATGCTGCTGTGTGAGAAGACTTAGTCTCTAATCTTCTCCTTGGACAGAAAAAGAAAGCAGCAAGAAGCAGATGCTGAGGAATAAGCGGATGAACACTCGAAGAAGGTAGCATGTTTGCTTTATTGAACAGCTAACATGTTGGGTGCTGTGATAAACACTTTGTAGAGTTCACAGGTAAATATGATGCTCCCTATAAGATTTTATAATCTAGGAGAGAAAAGATACTTGAACTTTTGTATTTGCCGTAAGATTAGGGAGTAATCAAATGCATATTTAGGATTTTTTTTTTACTAATGAATTAGAAACAAAAAGAATGTGCTTTTGCTAATACATAGATAAATCTCAGTTTTAAATTCTCATTGTCACTATGAAACTGTCTTCTGTAACTATCCTCTAACACATTTGAATATAGTTCTCTCTCTGGGCCTGGTCCTGTCAATGGGTTGAATAAACTTGGTAATTGCATTAATTCATAAATAAATGCCCTGGATGGTAGGTAGTAACAGTTTTTGCTACTATGTCACATTCCTTTAGTCTGTTGTATTTGAGTAATTATAATATAGAAAAAAATTGAGTGGAGAAATTATAAGCCATGAATATATACCTGTTTGCCACTGCTAAGGAACTTTATTAGGGGCTAATGATGCACAGAATTTGAACTAGGAGTCACTCAGATGACTGTGGAGGAGCATTTGAGGATTTTGGCATAAGCAGTAAGTGAATCAACCAACTTCATCCTATATGGTAACACTCAAATCAGTGAAAAAGGTGTAATTCACCTCTCTATAAAAACCATCTAAAGGCATTTATAAAGAATGATTGAACTACTCCAACACAGTGTACTACTCATAAGCAGACATAGCAATGTATGGTACCCACCATATCGACCCGTGACCTATTATAGAAATGTGTTTTGACTGACCTCCCTTCTTGCCCTAGCTTTCTAGTTTGACATACTCAAATGGAGAACTAGATGAAAGACATTTCCAAATGGAAGCCTCCCTTTAATATCCTTCAGTTTATACTGGATTTTCAAACGTGCAATATATACACCACCGTGGCCATTTCAACCTTAGAATTGAATAAGGAGAAACAATCAAATAACAGGATGTATGTCTAACACGTTATGTGGTAAAGGTGGCATTTGGGCCTTACAGTTATTGAATGTCATTCATCTGCAGAAATGTTAAAAGTTTGTTTCAATCCTGGTTTATTCTGAATTGGTATATCATTTGCTATTCCTTATGGAGGGTGCATATAAAACCAAATCTCCACAGATAGTTTCTGCAACCATCAATTTATATCCATGACTTACAGTGTCAGAGTTTCTTTTAGAAAGAAATGCTATTTTTGTAAATTTATTTCTAACAATATCTTTTTTTCCTCAGAATATGGAACATTTGCCGTAATCTTTAGCTCGGCCTGGAGAAGAAAGAACTATCGTTATGGAAAAGAAAGGAAAACATGTGAAAAAATTTAAAAAGATAGCTTTTAGCCCTTTTGAGAAATATTTGTTTAAAGTATGAGCAGAAATTCAAGTTG